CTTATCTATGAAGATTTTGAGGGGTCAAAACTAAGGGAGCAAGTGAGTTTTGATGTGAATTGTCCACCATGAATAATTTCCAAAGTTGACATTTCAAGCATTAGCCCTTGATCATAAAGCAAATGATAACTGAGGGGGATTTTTGGTTTTGCGGTTTTGACTGTTTTTTGGATCGGTTTTTCGGTTTTTGGACCAAAAAGGTTTGGTTTTGTGGTTTTGATTTTCAGAGCAGTTTTCACGAAAACTCTGATGCGGTTTTTGGTTTTTCCTTTTTGACCCCTTTAAAGGTGAGAATGTAGCGGTTTTGTCAGGTTTGTATGCGGTTTTCATTTTTGCTTCTCTTTTTCGTCGGTTTTTCGGTTTTGGAGGATTTTTTCTCCGGTTTTGCGGTTACCCAGAGGCCCCAGTGCCCCCAGTGCCCCCCTTATAACTCCTCACAGTGACCAACTTCTCCAAACTAACTTGATAAGAATTGTATGACAGACGAGAAGGAGAATTACTAATGAGATCTTGGGAGTGAACAAGTTTATGATCTATGCTGTAATTGATGATCTCTGTTCTTTCAATGAATTATAGAATTGACGAAAACGTTAGATGAATTCAATAAATCATCATGCAGGGAGCTGCAGGACAAAATGGGTGTTGCAGCACTTGAACAAATGAAGCAATCTTCACAGTGTGCAGCTGATTATATCTCTTCTTGGTCTAACTCTTTTACTCAAGAACATACAAGTTACAGCTCTGCCTCTGACAAGAGTGAAGAGTCGGTATTTTCTGAGATGTACCATTCATTGATTCATTCAGCGGCACTTGAAACATTGCTGCAGCTGGAGAATACTTACGCCATAGCAATGGATGATGTTGTCTTGAAGAAGGAGAGTGCAATAAAAGCAATGGAAGAGAAGTAAGAGCCAATGAGGTTCAATCCTTTAACTAAGAAGTGATTAACATGTAACTTCTCCCTATAGATAATGTCCATACATTATCCAGCAAACAGTTAATGAGAATAATCAAGCTTATCGGCCAGAATTGGTTGTCTTGATTCAATGCAAAATTCTCATAATTAATATACAAGGAATTGTGTAGCAGCAAGAGGGGAGAATTAGCAATCAGATCTTGGGGGTTAAAGGGTTAAGAATTGGTAGAGCATGGAGGGTTTAAATTAAAAATTCTTCACATGTAGACAGTATGCGGAAATGGTATCCGAGGGAGGAAGAAGTGGGAGGTGGAGGGAGTGGGGATGGTGACATGTGTGTAGGACAGGAGAGGTGATAGTGAAAAGTATGTTTCCTATATGATAAATTCTCTTCCCAAGATGTATTGACCCCTTACAACCTAACAGCATATCAGTATATACATATTCTCCAAACTGTTCTCTCTAAATTTCTTAAAGTGCTGACAAGGAGAGTTTGTTTACTAATTAAAAACTTCTTTGGTTGGTGAGATCTCATTTCCTGACTCAGGGGTGATATTGTAAGGAGAAATGAGATGCCAGTCACTGTAAGGGGATGAAGAGTTAACCCTTTACTCCCTGACATCAGTTTCCATATTCTCTATACTTTCTTCTATACACCGAATGCAAATATGGCGTCCAATTTGAATTGCCATTGTTCTGGACTCGCTAGCCTCTCATACATGTAATAATCCTTTTTATTACACGACTCGGGCAGTCAGAGGGCCAATAACTAAAATCAACCAATCAAAATGCTCTATTGCCGGTCAATATTCTCTCAGTATTGGACCAGGTACTGTCCTGAATGGTCCTGAATGATACCGCACTTGTGTCCCTTTGAACTTCAGTCATATAATAAATCTCTTATTAACCAAGCTTGCTCGGGACCGTACTGGAAGAATATCGGCCCTCGGTTTTTTTGTACGGACCTCGCTGCGCTCGGTCCGTACTGTCAAGACCTCAGGCCGATATTTTCCCAGTATGGCCCTCGCACTTGGTTAATAAGATATATTGAGTTTCCATGTGAAGACGAGGCTAGTGAGTCCAAAATAATGGCAATTCAAATTGGACGCCATATTTACATTCGGTGTATACGTTTCCTCTTACACCAACAAGGAGAATTCATTTAAAAATCAATGCTTCCTTGGTCAGTGATCTTTTCCTTATTTCTCATAACCCTAATGTTAAATGTAGCAGTATTTTAGTAAATAGAAATAAGATGTGGGATTTAAGAGTTAATGATTCATCTCTTTATAATTATGTTTTTAAGGCACCAGAGAGAAATGGAAGATTCCATTAACAATCTTGGCATTGTCACTTCGGACAAAGACGTCAATGATTTGGCAGCCAGGCATTGTGAGGATGCTCAAGTGAGTAATAAAACAGTGGGTTTGGGCTGTTTAGAATCACTTTCTTTTATTTATTTTTTTCTTTTATGGATCAATTTTTTTGTTTCCATTTATTTCTTAGATGCTGGAGACATACTGGTCCAGTGAGCTCTCGCAACTTCAGGAGATGCAAAAGAGAGAATACAGAGAGTGGGTCACTAAGGTACACGAAGATATGGTCAGAGTCAGTTCAGGTAATAATTTGTAGATATTTATTTACTTGTAAAAGCACGTTGCAAAGAATTCAAAGAATCTTTGAAACTAACTTTGTGTTTTTTTGCTGAAATGTTATCCAAGTTTTATAATTTCCTCCAATACTTTGAAAATCTGAGGGAAATGACAGGAGCAAATCTTAGCTTAAGACAGCCATGTTTCTTCCCTTCTCTTGATGACAAAGATGGCAGAACCAAAAATCAAACTTCCTTTCCTTAAGGCCCTGACTCTTATTAAAATTTTTGAGGGAGAGGAAGGTAAAAAGAGGTCAAATGTTCATGGAGTGTGATAAATATATGATGGTATTGCACTGTAGAACAAGGGGAAAATATGGATGAAAAACAAAGTAACAAAAAAGCTGCACTAAACAATCCAGACTTTGATTTATCTACATACTTTAGGCAAGGAGTTTCTAAGTGAAACTGAGTTTTTATTTTGTTGTAAAAGAGGCTTAAATGGTATCTGTTGTGTTGTTTTGTCTTTCCCGAGCACCATACTCCATTGATACAACTCTCGGATAATGCCAGAGGATATTTCTCAAAAGTTAGAAAGTTAAATAGTGGTGATATGATAAATTCTAACGTATAATATGATTAGTCATTTTGCTCCTTCCTTGCAGCTTCCTGGGTGGGGCTCAAAAAATACCAGGCAACTTACAGAATGTAACCACGTATTATGAATTACCAGGGGTAAGCCATCAGATGAATTGTTTGTGTTTTTCATCTTAAAAATTTTTTTGAATGGCGCTGAAAAATACTAGGCAATTATATGCTGATAATATATGTCAAACCATTAAATAAGTTGTGTTAGTTTTTAATTTTTTAAAACTTGTTTTGAAGGTCTCTAGGTACATGTATAAGGCTTGTACTGTACAGTCACATTTGTGATTGCTTTGTGTTTCTTTCATTTGTTTCCTTGTCAGATCCATCATCAGTGGAAGACTCTTTCTCCATAGGAAAGTGAGTGGTAGCTTTTTCTATTTATTAAACCTTGAAGAATTATTTAGGACAAGTTAGATTCTTAACTTATAGTAATTTGATGCTTTATCCAACCTTTAATCAAAAGTTTTTAGTCCTGCAAAGGGTTTGCCATCATGCAAGACATCTAAATAAATTAGGAAATTTCATTAAAAGGCAAAACAGATAAAAAAAAATTTATACAATATTAAAAAGTTAACATTAAATAAAATACTCAAATAGGGCCTTTTTGTACTAATTTAATAATAATTTTTTTATTTATAGCGTGCCTTTTAACATACCAGGGGATCAAAAGCGCATTACAACAATAATTAACCTAAAACTGATGCGATTTTGAATATTTTATAGAAAAGGTGCAATACAAATAATAAATGTTATTGTTATATTGTTATTGTTAAAACTGTACAAGTATTAAAAATCTACAATATAAATGTTACATCATTTATTTATATATACGCATCTGAGAAATATTAAAAGGATATAATTTTTAAAAGGAACTGCATTTGAAACATTACAGGAATCGCAGCATGTCTGTTCAGAGCATACCAGTGGGCAATGAGTTTTCTACTACTGAGCATGAGTTCAGGCTTGAAGAGAGTTTTACCATCCTTTTGGGTGAGTATACAATTGTACATGATGCAGATTTTTGAGAATACTGTGTTTGAATGTCTTATCATGTGGTCTGCTATTTGTAGTTAGAGTGCTGAACTCTGGATTGAAGAGGGGGCGAGCATTGGGGTCTTAAGTGAGCCTAAGTGTTGTGTCCTTGGTCAAAACATGGAATTGGTTACAGAGCCTCTCTCCTCATAATGGTATAAGTGGGCAACAAGAATTTGTCAGGGAAATCTGGCGAAATGCTAGTGTGTAATCTCGCAATGGACCGGCATCCAGGCCAGAGGTTGTGGCAACGTTCTACAATGTTTCTTGCCATTGAAACCAGAATAATCTGTCAAGAGGATTGGTCTTCTGGTTCATAAGCTGATTAATTTTTGATTCTGGTCTTTCACCTCTGACAGGAGCCCAGAAAAAATCGACACACAATCTGCGATTGATTTGTGGAAATGTGCTGGACTTGTGCAAACATAAAACCAGACCAGGAGGGTAAGGAGTTAGTTATTTATGTGGCCAGGGGAAATTGAGAATTTCATAAAGTACAACGGCTTCGCTATTTTCAATTATTTTGAACAGTTTATCAAGCCTCTACAGTTTTTGTGAAGTTTTTGTAGAGCATATTTGAGTAAATGACAGGAAACACATTTTTCCCCTCATTGAGTTTTGTTGTTATAAGGTTTTTGATTTTGAAGACATACTGGCATACCTTGTTTCTTTGTGTTCGTTGACCAACTCATGATGGAAACCTGTGGGTTTCAGCCCCAGCTACAATAAGCATCAAAATTAGTCATCATATTTTAATTTGAAGAGTTCTATTTATGTGAAGAATAACTGTCCTGTTTCTACCGCACTCTAAATCATAAATAGACCCCCCTCCCCCATTCAATGTTGGCTAAAAGTTCATGGAATCACGCTACAACATTGTTTTTCTTTTGTGAGGGGGCGGGGGTGGGGGGGAAGGTGGCGAAATCGTTAACTTTAGGTGGGCGAAAGAAATAAAATTGAAGTAACTGACGATCGAGAAGACCAACGTGTTAACAATTTTGTTGCCGATGTAGGCTATTGTTTCATGTCCTTGGAAAGGCATTTTATTCTGAAAGTGCCTCTCATCACACAGAAGTATAAATGAGTGTCAGTGAACTATTGGGAAACTTGATTTGTGATAAACTCACATCCCATCATGCTTCAGAAAAAGGGATAGCCTTGAGTATTAGCTATACATGTACAAGGAAGTCTAGTATCTAGGCTTTCTGTTTACGTTAATGGTTCTTGGAACAATTTGAGATGATATCTTTTATTCCTCTTGATCAGATCAGTGTTGTCACAACCCCACCGGATCCAGACAGCTCTGTCATTGTACTCTGAGACGCTTGCAGGAGTAATTTTGCTGGTGGAAGACCGACTTAATACGTACTCGGGAATTATGAAACGTATGCGAACAAAATTTTTATTTCCGTGTAGTCTCTCAATACATACATACATACATACCTACCTACCTACCTACCTACCTACCTACCTACCTACCTACCTACCTACCTACCTACCTACTTACCTACCTACCTACCTACCTACCTACCTACCTACAAACATGCAAACCTGCATACCTACCTGCATACCTACCTACCTACCTACCTACCTACCTACCTACAAACATGCAAACCTGCATACCTACCTGCATACCTACCTACCTACCTACCTACCTACCTACCTACAAACATGCAAACCTGCATACCTACCTGCATACCTACCTACCTACCTACCTACCTACCTACCTACAAACATGCAAACCTGCATACCTACCTGCATACCTACCTACCTACCTACCTACCTACCTACCTACAAACATGCAAACCTGCATACCTACCTGCATACCTACCTACCTACCTACCTACCTACCTACCTACAAACATGCAAACCTGCATACCTACCTGCATACCTACCTACCTACCTACCTACCTACCTACCTACAAACATGCAAACCTGCATACCTACCTGCATACCTACCTACCTACCTACCTACCTACCTACCTACAAACATGCAAACCTGCATACCTACCTGCATACCTACCTACCTACCTACCTACCTACCTACCTACAAACATGCAAACCTGCATACCTACCTGCATACCTACCTACCTACCTACCTACCTACCTACCTACCTACAAACATGCAAACCTGCATACCTACCTGCATACCTACCTACCTACCTACCTACCTACCTACCTACCTACAAACATGCAAACCTGCATACCTACCTGCATACCTACCTACCTACCTACCTACCTACCTACCTACCTACAAACATGCAAACCTGCATACCTACCTGCATACCTACCTACCTACCTACCTACCTACCTACCTACCTACATACATACATACATACATACTTACTTACTTACTT